GTTAATCCAGTGCATCCTTTGTTAGGAGACCTTCAGAAGAAAGTCACAACATTACCTTGGAATAAAAGCTATTTAAATCTCCTTTTAATCTCTGTTTCAATGAAGTGAGAGGTCCTTTAATAAAGATCACCCTGGAAAGTTTCTCCTACAGCTGCCAATAACCTGGGAGGCAGCAGAGCCCTTTAAAAATGTTTAAATGCATTAAAAGCTCTCGTTGGACACAGTTTGCCTCCAAGGAATTCCAGAACATGAGGGAACAATCTGTTCCCACCTTGGCCAAGTCCACTGAGCCACCCTTGCTTTGCCAGCCTGGGTTTCTCCCTCTGCCCCCCATTTTGTGGCCAAGTCCCACAGCAAAAGTGCAGGAGAGAAATACCAGCACTTTTCATCTTTCTCTGGAGCCCTTGGAGTGGGATCTACAGGAGCAAAGCACATCCTGGGGTTTATTCCAGGCACTACACACCAAATTCCCTCTTACTGCAATTAAACCAGAGGGTAAAAGGAATTAATTAAAGGAACTTGGCCATGAGGACTAAGTTTGATTAGGTTTAGTAAACAGTGTCTTCAGGTCTGGTATTTTTTCCAGAAGGGGAAGAAAGGCTCATTTTTAGCTAATTCTCACAACTCAGAGGGGGAGCCTGTTCACACTCACGGTTCTCCCGTGCTCCGAGGGTCAGGACCATTCTGTTCTTGGGCTGGAGCAGCACTGAAGGCAGGGTGCAGCAAACTCTTCTGGAGCTCCCCAAGCCCTGCCCGAGCTCCAGCTGGGTCCTTGTCCTGTGGTGTTTCCCATGGGGAGGTTTTTGGGATGTGGTTTCCGAGGGGCTTCGCCGGGCGCAGGGCGGGAGCGGTGGCTGGCGGTGCCTGGAATTGGGGCTGCTCAGGCACCAGAGCTGGGCCCTTTGGCACGTCCAGCCCTACAGCAGGGGCCATCCAGCTCCCTGGGATGTGAGATGTGCTGGGCCTCGCAGGTGGGGGCACCTTCAGGGACGAGAAGTGTTCTGTGACACCCAGATTCCCCCCACAGGCAGCCATTCCCATTTTCTGTACCAGCTCCACGTGACCAGAATGTAACAGAACCTTTAGGTTCCCCCCCAAATACAGCCATTCCCATTTTTCCTGTTAGTTCCACATGCCCAGAACCTGAGAGAACTTCTGGCTGCATCTCAAACTAAACTGTGGAGAAGCAAAGCCACAGTTCAGGGTGAAACCTTTAAAACCTGGGTGCTGCAAGCTGTGCCAGATTTCCATGCTGGTATTGCAGCCTCCAGGCTGGAGAAAGATCCTATCCCACAGTGTTCTCTTAGGAAAACATATCAAACATATTTTTACTCCTTTTTTTTTCCCCCCTCTCCTCTTTCCTTTTAGCAATAAGCTCTGAATAAAGCCCAGAGCCAGAGCCTGGTGCCTGCCTGGATCAGTGACACACACTGGATGAGCTGAGCCCGTCCCAGTTTGAAGGATGCATTCCCAGGAAGAATTCAGCTGATTTCTGGGCTCTGGAAGAAGCCTGCAGGCACCTCCTGGATCTGGTGGAAGCTGTGGCTCAGCTTTGTAACACCCTGAGGGGGGTTTATCCCATGCAGGAGGATTGGGCAGCTCAAGGTGACACCTTGCTCTGCGTGGAGCAGCAGATCCCAGCTGCTGGGGCTCTGGTGGGGCTTCCCACCAGGGAAAAACCAACCTTGGCTCCTGCAGCATGGCTGGGTTTTGTGAGCAGGGCATTCCTGTCCATCCCAGAGCCACTCACCACGCTCTGGCCTGGCTCAGCTGCCGGCTCCAGCCTCGTTTCCTCCAGGCTCCTGGAGAGCTGGGTGAGCTGGTCCAGCTTCTGCTGCAGCACCTGGAGCTCCAGGACTGCCGACTCCTTCTTCCTCATGGAGTCCTTCTGCTCCTCCTCTAGGGATTAAACAGTGACACTAAATTAATATGTGTGGTCTGTATGACCCCAAACAATGAGATTATATGAAAATACGAGGTGCTGATGGCTCACTGTGCCTCCTCAGGAGAGAGGCACAAACGTGGCACTGACAGGAGAAGCCCAAGCCATGAGCCTGACCAGGAAAGAGCCATTTGGATGGCTGGGAAAAGGAGGATACCCAGTGCCTGCTGCCTCCTGAGGAGCTCATATTTCGTGAAGTATCTCTTGGCCCTGAGCTCCTCGAAGGAGAGCTCGGAGCCCGGGCACAGGAGCAGCTTCTTGTCGTACATGGGCACCTGCTCCCACCCGGCGGCGCCCGACGGCGGCTTCGGAGCAACCTCAGACTTGGAGATGTAGGTGATGTAGTTCCTGGCAGGGAGAGGAGAAAAGGGCCAGGATTGGGGGGTTTATCCCAGCTGAGAGCTTGTTTTCTCACTGTGGGGACTTTGAAAGGGACACCCAGCCACTTACACTTCTTTCCCAGCAGCACAGGGTTGAGAACCAGCAGCGTCCAGACCCTAAAGCAGGGAAATAAAACACAAAAAAATAAAATAAAACTAAGTTCAAGCAGCACAACTGGCACAGAATCCACTGTTAATGTTATTCCTGTGATTCTGGGAATGTGTCAGGCCACTGGGTGTGTCCCAGTGCTTCCCAGATGAGACATTCCTATGGAGATGTTTTCCTGCTGCAAGCATCACAGCAGCAGTATCCTCTCCATATCACTTTTGAGATAAACCAGACACAGCCAGTCTGCCCCGTTCAGCCAAGCTCACCAACCCAAACTCTACATGAAACATCTCCCCCAAATAATTCATAATGATTTACCTGAGTTTTGCAGGGATTAGGACTTGAGACACCTTTTGGAGGAGCCATTTGATTTGCAGCATGGAAAGGCTGAAGTGGTTTTAGAACAGCAGCATCTGGGACAGGAAATAAAATGTAAGTATTTTCTACTCATTAATAAGTAAAAATTGTTTGGTCCTTTGTGAATTTAGATTAACTTGAAGCACTGGAAAATTAATAACTTGTTTTGAATACATTGCCCTTAAGAATTTTTCACATAAAGAGGGAAAATAAAGTGATTTCTATGGGGAATTTGGTTTTTTTCACTCACTGAGGTAAAAAATTCATTTAGAGGAGCTACAGATCAAACAGGACTCTTCATCCTCACCTTGCAAAGGAGGATTCCGAGGATCATAACTCTGCAGGGAGCTAAAGTGCAAAAAAACCTCAGTTATTACCATGAAACCACCTGTCCCCCACCCTTCCTCACCTCCCAGAAGCTTGGATTCCCTTGTACAATCACGCCATGAAATGCAACATGGAAAAGTGAGATTTTTACTGCATATGGACATCTCCACAGCTGCAAAACTAAAAAAGCCTTCAAGAGACAGCAGGAGAACAGACTTGGGAATTTGTTTTATGGTTTATATTACATTTTACTTTTGGCTTTTTGCATTTAGCTTCCCAGAATTAAACGCTTAACTCCGAGGATCTGCTTCACTCTGGGATATTTTTTTGTAATACACATCCCAGAACATCCAATAAATATTCAGCAGCAAAGAAACGTTATTAAGTTTAAACCTCCCTTTACCAAAAATAGGAACACTGAAAAAAAAACTTAAAAAAATAAAAATATGGTTAATGATGGTTAATTATGAGCACTGAGTAAATGAGCAGAAGAGTTACCAGTGGAGCTGCTGCAGGTTCTCGCGGGGCTGTGCCTGGTTCAGGAGCCCTTTTTGGAGCACGGCTGCTGCTCCCTGCACGTTTCCCTCCTTGAGCAGCAGCCGAGCCCAGGCCAGGTAGAAATCCGAGCTCCTGGCCCCGATGCCCTGCCCGTGCAGGTACTCAAAGTACTGGCCCGGGGAGGAGATGAACTCTGCCTGCACAGCAACAATTTCTGAGTCACCATAACGGGAAAGCGTCAGAGAAGTGAAGGCAAACCTCTCAAAAATTACACAGCTTAAAAAACACACTGTTAGTTCTTTCTGATCCCCCTGCCCCTGCCTCCTCCCAAAGCCCTCCGCAGTGCCAGAACCGCGGGGTGGGTGAACCGGGATAATTTAATTTAATGTAAATCCCGGAGAAGCGCAGCCGCACCCACCAGCTTGAGGCAGTATCTGACGAACCGCGGGTCCTGCTGGTACCGCCGGTCGCTCACGAACAGCTCCACCATCCGCTCCAGGAGCCCCGGCCAGCGGCTCTGCCTCTCTGGGAGCGGGAGGCATCCCTCCGCCCACTGCAGGTACCTGGAACGATCCCAGGATCAGCTCCGGGCCCGGAAGGGGCAGATCCCGGGCAGGGAAGGGGAAACACCCGAACCGGGGATGGAGCATCCCCCGAGCCAGGCCCAGCGCTCACCTGTCCCACGGCTCCAGAGGGTCGGGCCCTCGGTAGTTCCGGATCTGAGCCTCGTAATTCCTGCAGGGAAATCCCGGGTCAGGCCGGCATCAGGGAGGCTGGGAAGGGCCCGGGGCGGGCAGAGGCTCTGCCGCCCCCACGGCGCCGCTTGGCCACGGCACCCGCAGCCCCCGGTCCAGTTCTCCATCCCGTTATCCCGCTCTCCATCCCGTTATCCCATTCCCCATCCCGTTACCCCGTTATCCCTTTCCCCGCTCACCGCCCGGGCTCGTCCATGCCCAACCGCTCCCGCCGATTCAAACTGGCCGCGCGCGGCCCCGCACCGCCCCTCCATTGGCCAGCCCTCGGCCCGCACTGCATCCCCATTGGCCGCTGATCCCATCAATCACGCAGGAAACACCGGCCCCCGCGGGTGCAGTTCCCGCCGCGGCCGCTGGACGGCGCCCTGGGGCCAGGCCCAAGGGAAATGGGAGGGGGGAAAAAAAAGAAAAAGGGAAAAAAAAAATAAAAAGGGAAAAATGAGGAATTGGGAAAAGGGAAAGGGCTGGGCCAGCCCTGGGAGCAAGGAGCAGCCCCCACTCCTCTCCCCCCTCCTCATTTCCCACCTCCAAGCCCCGCAGGTTATCTTGGAGCAGCCGCAACCCTCTCCCATCATTAACTCGGAGATATTCCATCGTTTTTCCAAACTGCTGAATTTATTGTGCTGCTTCATTCAGCGTACACCGCTCCAGAGCTGCATATAAAAGTGCTGCGATACAATTCCAGTTACAAAAGTAGTTATTCCATAACATGCTGCCCGCGGCACCGTCCCAGCCCGGGCACGGCCGGGGACTCCGACTCCTGCCCGCATTCATTCCAGAGGTTTATATGAGACTTTACATGAGATAAAGCTCCTGTACAGGACAGAGCTGTTTGTTCCCACCGTGTGACCCGGGCCCCACGCGTGGGAGCGGCCAGGGAGCGCCTGGACAGCCGGGAATGAGCTCCATTCCCTGATCCCCCCTCAGGCCGCGCTCTCGGAACTCGGGCTCCTGGGAACGGCCGAGCTGGGGGACAAGTTCAGGATCTCCTCAAAGGAAGGGCCTTCGTCCTCCAGGGGTATCTCTGCCTCGAACATGCGCTGGAGCAGAGCATCCACTGTCCTGTATCCTAGGGGGACAAAAGAATGCCCTGTGAGCACCAGATGTGCCCCTCTGGATGCCTTAAAACAGGCAAGAAAATCCCCCAAATCACACTCCCTGCTCTTCCATCCCAGCTACTCTAAGTACTCCGAGCCCTTCTTGAAGGTAAGGCCATTATTTGGGATTTTAAGCCCCTCTATTCCCACACAGTGGAAAGCTGAGGTACAGCAGGAAAGCCAGGAGAAGGAGGGAATAGTCACCGAGCCAGAAGAAAGGATCCAGGGCAGCAGGAATGCAAAGCCCACAGAGGAAGGAGAAAGGAAAACAGGTGTCTTGGCACAGCAGGATCTCATCCAGCAGGGCAGTGTCTCCAGAGGGAGGCTACTGAGGACAAGGAACACAGAAGGGCTGAGGTGGGACAGGAGAAATACAGAAATAAAAACAAACAACAAACATCACACATCCACAGCTGTCCCAAAGTTTCCAGATGGGGTTTAGCAGCTTTTGTAGCCCCAAGGGGCAGCAGGGATTGGGAGCTTCCCCAGGAACAGCCGGGAGATTTGGGCCTGGACACCCTGGAGGGTCACACTTACGTTTGGAGGCAATTTTGAACACCAGCCCTTTGCTCTGTGCCTTGGCTCCACCTTCCCCCTCGAGCTCGTGCTCGGCACTCTCCATGTTGTCGAGGAGCTGCTCCTGCTGGAGCTCATCCCTGCACAGCAAAGGCCAGGAATTACCCTGGGAAGGGGCCACATCCCACCCTGGGAGCCCGGCAGTGACGGGCTCTCAGCGGGGCAGGACAAGCACCACCCATGGGGTTATTTTCCAGCATCTCTCCTGTCCTCTGGGCTGGAATTCCAGCAAAGCCAACACCAGTGGCCTTCTACTGGCACCTAAGCCAGCAGAGGAGCCAGAACTTCGAGACAGGGGAGAGGAATCTCCATTTTTCAGGAAGATGAGCCAGACTTTGTGACAAGGAAGGGGAATGTGAGCTCACTCCTCGACACAGAGGGTGGTTTTCCCCCATCAGTGGTGCCAAACTGGCCACATCCAGCTTGGGTACATCTGGGGCCTTACTCTTGAACTCCCATTCCCAGCTCCTGGATTTTCTGCTCGATGGCAGTTTCCACTTCACTCTTCTCCAGGGAGTACTCCACAAAGAAAGCTTCCAGGATGAATGACACGAAGATGCTGCAAGAAACAACGAGCAGAACTGAGACAGCATTTCCTCCGTGGCTGTCCCAGCATGCCCAGGCTCATTGCCCAGTGCTCCATCCCCTCCAGGTCAGAGCAGCACCCAGTGGTGTCACCATGATATTTTCTGAAAAATCTGTTTGCCAGGATTTTTCTGAGAAGCCTTAGAGGAAAAGAAAACTAATAATTATCTGCTGCTGTGGAATGCAACAGGTGCATCTTTGAATGGACCATGTGGTTGTTTCTCATTAATGGCCAATCACAGTCAGCTGGCTCGGACTCCCTGAGAGTCACCAGCTTTTGTTATAATTCCATTCTATTCCTTGCTAGCCTTCTGATGAAATCCTTTATTTTATTCTTTTAGCATAGTTTTAATATATCATTCTCTTTTAATATAATATATTATATGTAATAAAATAATTAATCAGCCTTCTGAAACATGGAGTCAAGATTCTCATCTCTTCCCTCGTCCTGGCACCCCTGTGAACACCACCACCCAGTGTGGACAAGAGTGCAGCAGATCCCTCTAAACCCATCCCACCTGTCTCCAGGGGGTGACCCCAGCACCCACCAGCACTGCCCTGACAGGGGCAGATCCCCTTTTCCCCTAAAGCAGAGGAAATCACCCCAAAAAAACGTACTTGACAATGATTATCACCATCACAATGTGGAAGGCGATGAAGTAGAGCTTGGCAGGCTGAGCTGTCACGTTGGCAAATCCATTGGCAAAGAGTGGAGTGGGAGTCAAGGGAAAAGAGGAAAGGAGGAGCTGAGGGGGGAACCAGAAGCCCAGGAAATGTCCCAAGGGAATTTCCAGCTGGGAATGTCCCACAAAGGATATCGTGCCACTGGTTGACCACAGTGAGCTCCATGAGCACGATGAAGGACGAGGCGAAGTTGTTGAAGTTGTTCTTGCAGTACTTGCCACGGGCAAACAGGGAATCCTTGAGGGCTGGATTCCCACACTCCAGGGCGTGAGGAGCGTTGGAGCTGGCCGGGAAGTACTGGATTTTCCCGTGGAATAGTTCCATGCCAATGATAGCAAACACACAATACACAACCTGGGGAGAGAAACCCCATCACCTGCTTCTCCAGCAAGCTGCAAGCCCCAGGGCAAGCTCAGCACCCCAGCAGGTTTCCCCGTTTCCACCGGCACAGCAAGGAGCTGGAGGGCAGCACAGACTCCAGGAGCCCCAAGCCACCCAACAGCAATCACCAAGCAGGAATAATCAGCCAAGAACTACAAATACACAGATAGGAAATATTCCCAAATCACAACAGAAGCTCATTTTAGGAAATCATTTGAAATCCACATTTCTCATTCAGCCTCTTGCCCAAACCATGATTTGATTCCTTATGATGCAAAGCCCAGGCTGCCAGAACACCCCATGGATCCAAGAAGGATGTCCTGATCCGGGAAAAAGCAGGAATGCAGCGCTTTGCTTGCACAATGGCCACGACTCAAACAGGTACTTACAGTTCCAAGGGCCTGCCATCCAGGGAATTGCATTTATCCCCTTGGAAACAGCATGAGCGTGAGATTTATGACACACTTCTGTGAAACTGGAGTGCTTCGAGCCAAGACACCGGGATTTCTTACCAGAGTGAGCCCACCAAAGGTCAGCATGGTCGGGACGATGTTTATCAGGGTGTTCATGATCACCTGGAACCTGCAGAGAGCCCACACTGGTTACTGTCACACCCCGGCCACCCACGCTCCCCATGTGCCCAGAGAGGCTCCTGCAGCCCTGGGATCCTCCCAAGGCCTTGGGAAGCTCTGTGGGGTGGCCATGGTCAGTGTGGGCACACAGAGCACCAACCCCTCCCCAAAATCCAGCTCCCACTTCCCTCCTCACCTCTGGATGCTGTCAACAATCCGGATCAGCCTGAGCACTCTCAGGATGAACACAATGTCCAGGATCTGCTGGCTGTTGTACTTCATGGCTGAAAAAAAGAACAAAGACGTTTTTGTTATGAAAATAAAGCAGGGAGGTGTTTAGATAAAATTCTTTCATTTGTTACGAATGTGTCCTTGTTAAACACTATGACAGGGAGCTAAAAAAAAAACAGAAAAGAGAAAAAAAGAGGAAGACTGGGTTAGTTCTTAGAAACCCTCCAGAAATTGCTTGTCTGGTCACAAAGCCTCTCAAGGCAGAAGGCTGGGGAGGACACCAGGGTTCCCAAGGCATGCAGGCTGCTCAAGCTGCACTTACTGGACTGGAGGGTGGCATTGAGAATCGTTGCAGTCAGGGCAGCAAAGATGATGAGAGTATCAAACCTGGCACGAGGGAAGGCACTGCTGTTAGATTTTGGGGGGGGACAGGAGTGGGGTTTAATCAAGGAGTGACCCCTCCTCACATCAGGGCCAGCTCAGGCTATGGGCACACAGGAGAGCTTTGTCACAACATCCTCTGATTCACCATAAACACACCCTGGCACAGGAATTCAGAGCCTTTCAGTCCTTGAGGAGCTGAGCACAGCACTCATCACACTCCACACAAACCTCCAGCCCACTCACCAGTTCCAGAACTGGGTTTTGCCAAAGAACTCCCTGGGTTCATAGGTGTAGACCTTCAGGAGGATCTCGATGACGTACAGAGCAAGGAACACCCACTCTGCATAGGAAATGTAGGGGCTCTCCTCATCCAGAGCAATGAAGACAGCGTTTATCAGGATGATGGCATCAAAAGTCCAAACAAAAGCCCTGCAAGAACCAAGAGACATCAGTCTGCAGCTCCCAGGAAGGCCAAAGCCACACAGTTATTTCAGAAGCTCTTTGCCTCCTCTCTCAAAAATCCTTTACCCATCAGTTCTCCTCAAACCTCAGAGTTTGGGAGAGTCACTGAAGAGTTTAGTTTTGCCCTTGAAGTCCAACACAGAATTTGGTTAACAGGGGAAGTGATTTTTCCCCACCTACTCAGTACTGATGAGGCCACACCTGGAGGTGCTGGGGGAGGAACCAGGGTGAGCTGGGCTCCCCAGCACTGCAGAGGCCTGAGCACACAGAGCTGGTGCAGCAAAGGTCACAGAGCTGACAGAATGACGGCACAGTGCAATGGGATGTGTTGGGAGAGCTGGGCTAGTCCAGCCTGACAGGGAGAAGGGTCAGGAACAGCTCCTGTGCATAAATACCTGATGGGAAGGTGCAGGGAAGATGGAGCCAGACTCTTCTCAGTGATATCCAGTGGAAGCACAAGAGGAAAGGGGCACAAGTTGAAATTCAGGAACTTCCATTTAAACAAAGAAGTTGCTTGGGCTTTTTTTTTTTAACCAGGGGTGATCAAGCACTGGAAGGGGTTGCAGAGAGGTTATGGAGCCTCCATGCTTTGGGGATACCCTAGACCCAGCTAGGACAGCCCTGAGTACCCTCCTGTGGCTGACCTTGCTTGGAGCAGGGGGGTTCCACGAGATGTTCTTTGCAACCTCAGCTACTTTGGGATCCTGGGAACGCTCAGAGGGGAAAGAGAGCTCTAGAGAACGCCCAGAGCTGATGAGGCAGCAGGACAGAGCTCTGCAGCAGAGACTGCTGAGCTAGGAGCAGCTCTGAGTGCATGGCAGGGCACAAAGCAGAGCCTGATGTCAGCAAAACCCAGCTCGGGCAGCAGGGCCTCACCCACAGCCACAGCTGGCTCCTCCACACTGAGCAGGAGCAGCAGCAGAGCCCTGAGGGTCTGTCAGCACATCCAGGGGAGGCCTGGGCCGTGTCAGAGCTCACCTGTGCCACATCAGAGCTCACCTGTGCCTGACGAGGCCGCGCAGGAGCCGGCTGGGCGCGGATCCGTACAGCGCCGGCGCCCAGCGCGCCAGGGGGTGCCTGCGGATCTTCAGCGTCACCACCTGGATGTTGAGCAGGTCTGCCAGCTGCACGAAGGACTTCTTGTCTGCAGCAGTCAGAGGGCCAGTGTCAGCCTGAGCTCGTGGCAAGCAAACAGTGCCTGCTAAAGGCACATCTGAGCCCACAGAAGTGGCAGCCGTCCAGGCTCCTGGGTCTCCGCTCCCAGCAAAGCCAATCCCAGAGCGGTGTCCACCACAATGGGCTGGACTTGGAATTCAAGCGGCTTCTCGGCCCCATTCCCGGGGAATTGGCTCGAGCCATGGGCCAACAACTGCCACAGAAAGGTTCAGAACAAGGAGAGTGACCCATCTCTCTGGATATTCCCGCTCCAGAGGACTGTGTGAGGAGCCACATTGCATCTGATAACAAGGGAGGCTTTCCGCATCCTCTGCTGAGAGCAGGAGGGCCCACATCCCATGGAAAGCCTGGCCTGATGTCAAATGGCCATGAAGGGCCAGTCACAGTGGGTGGGACATGGGCTATAGCACAGGCAGCAAGAACAACCTTTAGGGACTCCAGGAATCTGGAGGGAAACAGGAAGAGGGACCCAGAGACCTCATTCCTGGAGGGGCTCAAGGAATGACTGGAAATGGCACTCAGTGCTCTGGGCTGGGGAATAGGCACAGGTTGGACTCTACCTTGGAGGTCTTTCCCAACCTCAATGACTGTGATTCTGAGTCCCTCTGGGGCTGTTCCAGATCAAAACTCCCAATGCCAAACCCCTGGAAGGATCAGGCTCCTGGCTCCTCCCCAGTCCCCACTGCTGACCTACAAACCCTTTCTGCTCATCATCCGAGATGCGGAGCAGCAGCTCCCGGTGGGAATTGCTGGTGTCAGGAGCCACCAGCTTGACCAGCTGCTTCCAGCGACCCTCCCGGACCACGAACTGCTCTCCCTCCTCTTCCTTCAGCAGGTTGAAGGCCTCGATCATCTTGCGGCGCTTCATGTAGGCGAGTTTGCGGATCTCGTTCTGGAGAGAGCGCTGGGAGTCAGCCCCAGGTGCCTTTCCCCCTTCTTTAACAAATAAACTCATTTTCACAGCACAGAAATGCAAGAAGAGACCCAGGAGAATGGCACTGGACACAAAGCACAGCACAGTTAGTGTGTGGGGGGTGAGAAATGGTGTTTAACAGGCAGTTGTGGGTTCTCCACACCGAGCTCTGGAAGCATCAGCAGATTGCTGGATGCTGGGACAGCACTGAAAAACCGGAAGGAAAGACAAAGGGTAGTGTGAAACAGGAAGGAGGTGACAAAAATCACGGGATCTGCATGGCCACAGAAGCAAAGAGGATGTGTCCACACATGCTTCCCATCCACAAGTGAATCCTGCCGAGAGCAGGGCTGGGGATCCCCTTCTGCACATGACTGTGAGCAGAGGGACATCCAGCACTCCGCTTCCTGAGAGAGATCCAATTCCCTCATGGGAGCACCCAGGAATTCCCAGCTCTCCTCCTTTGATCACAAGTCCCAAACTGCCCCTACAAAAATTCTGATTTACTCAGACCTCCCATTTCTAATTCACTTGCTCTCAGAGCACATGCAAAGATGCTGTGCAAAAACAGTTCCCTGCATGGAGACAGCATTCCTGAGCTAGGACTAAGCCTCCAAGATAATGCAGAACGTGCTTCTTATCAGCGGGAAACACCATAGAATGTTTCAATCAATGCCAACAGCAGAACTCCCAATAATCCCATGATAGGAGAAGTGGAACTGTGCTTGTTGTTTGCAAGAAGCTCTTTCCCCTTCTCAAAGCTTTCCAAGGGAAAGACAGAGGTTCCTGACAGAGAACAGCAGCAAGGCCACAAGACCCTCCAGGCATTACCTTCAGGTGCTTTTTGTAGTTGTTGTAGACCACAGCCAGGAAGAGAGACATGAAGATGTAAGTGTTGACGATGACGAAGGCGATGAAGAACAGGGCGTACCAGGAGCTGAAGTCAAACGCTGGCATCCTAGAGAAGGGGAGAGGGGTTGCTGCTTGCCAGACTGACAAAAGTGAGCCCGTGAGAAAACAGACTACCACGTGGATTTCCAAGTGCTGTTTTGGACTGCCAGATCAAACTTGTCAGATTAAAAGCTAAAAATTGCATTAGTTCAGTTAGAGAACACTTTTCTTCTGCTGGGTTTTCATCCTGGCTTGTCAGGCCCTGACTGAAGGGGTGCAGAAGACAGCACAGAGATGAAATCTCTGCCAGTGTAGCCAAATTTAAGAGCAGACATGAGGCAATGCCTCAGCCAGATGCTATTTTTTGGCCTCAGATCCTTGCTGCACTCACATCTGCTTTTCCACTTGCTCTAGGATGAGCAGCATTTTATTTCTCAGTTTAAATTCCCAGAGTCACTGTACCATTGCAGTTGTGCTGAAGATATTTCCAGCACATGGATGACTGAGCCCTTCCTCCCTACCCTACTCCTGACAGCACTTCCCAGCACAAACTACAATGGGAACCCAGAAGAGCAAGGGATGAAAATCCCAACACCCACGGAATTTTAACCCTGCTGTGCAAATTAGAGGCTGCACAGAGAGCCCTGAGAGCACTGTGAGAGAAAGACATCTGATCATCCACACGTGACATCCATACATGACATCCGGGCTGTTAGCTGTGGTCACCAGCACGTAGAGGTCAAACACAATCTCCAGGTAGTTTCTGAAGTAGGGGAGGCCTTCTGCTGTCTGGAGATTCCTGGGAGGAAGAGGAGAGCCTAGAGTCAAGCACTGGGACCACATGTCCCTTGCATTCCCTAGGAATTGCCTGGAGCGTGCCCAGAGTACCCCAGGAGCAAAGGAATTACCCACACCTCTCTCCAAACAGCTTCAGGGCCATGAGGGAGAACATGAGGAGGCTGAACATGAAGAGCAGGAAGACGTAGGTGATCTCGGGCAGCGTGTTGCGGATGCTGCGGAACGCCCTCCGGATCTGCCGGGACAAGGGAATGCTCAGAGGCAATGTGGCACCCCTTTTCCCCCATCCCACCTGGATTCAACCCCTGAAATGGGGTGCAAGAGACCCAGGCCTTTCCTCCTTGTTCCTCAGGGGGATCCTGGAAGGAAAGGCCTCAGCTACAAATCACAGTGAGCTCAGGAGCCAAGGGACAGAGGCACTGCCGAGATGCTCTTGCTGCAAGGAACCACTCAGGGACAGAAATCCATCACTCCAGGCCACAAAACACAGGCTCTGAGCCCAAATGTTGAGCTGCTCCCTCCCCCAGGCCTCCACATCGCAGTGTATTCATTTGTAAGTCAGGACCAGACCAGTCTTGGGCAGCAGGACAAAGATCTCTCCGTGCTGAGGGGAATCAGAGTCCAAACCCAGACTACAGCACTTGTTTACCCAGGAGACTTCCAGCAATCAGTAACCTGCTCCCTGGCTCAGGGAGAAACACAGGGGTTTTTCCTGTGATACTGTGTGAATCCACCCTTTTGCCCACCTCAAATTATTGCTTCAGGCCACTTCTGAAACAAACCTTCTCTCACAGGATCCTAAATTCGGCCTAAGGGTTTCTCCTCCCCAGCAGAGAGCCCTGGGCCCTGGCAGAGCTCACTTGTATCAGGGCTCATAAAACCTTTCTGCTAAATCCCCTGGATTGTGGAAAGCAGCAGGCTGTCTGAAAAAACCAGGACCCTGGACATGCCACCAGACCTTTTCTTTACCTGGCGGCTCTCTGCGAAGTTGATGAGGAAGATGGGCCTCACAATCCTTGACCACCGGATGCTCCTCACACCATACAGCCTGAGGACCCCATATATGCCCAGGTCTGTCAGGGATAGCTGTGGGAGAAAGAAGGAAAACTCCCAGAATTAATGCTGGAATGTGGCTAGACAGTGAAGTGTTCATTGATAGAGGAGAGGTGACACACGACAGGTTTGTGAGATCTGGTTGGCTTGGCCATGGCTCGTGTATGCCAGGTCTGGGATCCCAGGAAAGCAACGTGAGGGGGGAAAAAACCCACCTCCCCTGGGCCCAACTCACCAGGATTGCCACCATGATGCAGATGTTCTTGGTGTCCTTCCAGAACACGCTGTGCAGGGTGACTTTGGCAAAGTGTGTCAGGCGGCCGAGGAACACCAGCAGGCACAACACCTCCAGCACTGACGTGGCCTGCAGAGAGAGCAGGGCTCAGCCAGCACAACCAGGAGCTGCAATATTCCTTTTTGCACAATAAAAAACAGGCAGAGCAGTATTTTCAGCCTTTCTTTTGCAGAATTCCCTGCCACAGACAGGTTAAAGCCAGCAAGTCTGTGTTTGCTTAGGATTCAAGGAGTGCATCTTTCACAATCACACTGCTGCAGGACAAATTAAAAGGCTGCAGAAAAGTCTGGCCTAGAGTAAAACTTGGCTTCTATTTTCATGCATGAGGACTGGACTTGAATCCCAAAGAAGGCTGGAATTGGTCTCTGGGATGGAGAACAGCAACATGACTTTGACCACAGTCACATGGGCCATTGCTGGTGGCCACAATGGCTCCTACAGTCCCTGGCCAGTTCCTGTGCCTTTTTTGTCCCCATTTCAGACAGATCACAGAATTATAAAGTCACAGAATCACTTGGGTTGGAGGGGACCATAAAGATGATCCCATTCCACCCCCTGCCATGGGCAGGGACACCTTCCATTATCCCAGGTTGCTCCAAGCCCTGTTCAACCTGGCCTGGAACACTTCCAGGGATGGGGCAGCTACACCTTCTCTGGCAAACCTCTGCCAGGGCTTCACCACCCTCACAGAGGGCAATTTCTTTCCAGCCTCCCATCTAATCTTGCCCTCTTGCAGTGGGAAGCCATTCCCGCTTGTCCTGGCACTCCAGACCCTTGGAGTCTTTCTCCATCTTTCTTGTTGGCCATTTCAAGTACTGGAAGAGCCAATTAGGTCACTCTGAAGTTTCTCCAAGCTGAACAACCCCAATTCTCTCAGCTTTTCCTCACAGCAGAGCTGTTCCACCCCTCTGACCAACCTAGTGGCCACCTCTGTACTCCAACTTTCCATGTCCTTCCTGTGCTGGGGACCTAGAGCTGGATGCAGGACTCCAGGTGGGGTCTCACCAGAGCAGAGGATCAAAGATACTACAAAAACATCACCATCCACTGCCTCTTGGCACCTCTGACAACCACTTTGAACCAAGAGGCCCTTGCTGGCTCCAGCAGCTGCATCTGCTGCTCCTACACCACAAACTCACCAGGAAGGGGAGAGGATACACAGCAGGTTCCTCAAACAGGGCAAGGGACAGGTTGAGGAAGATGAAGAAGTAGGTGGCTGTTCGCATCATCCAGTGGTTGTAGAGGTGATAGAGCCTGGAGGAAGAGGCACAGGCACCATAAATAAAGGCTACAGGACACATCCCCAGGGCATCACCAAATGTGTCCTGGAAGAACAGCACTTGCTGTCCCAAACAAACATTTTTGCCAGCAAGGAATTTGGCAATTTGCTTCCAAATCTTAGAGCTGATGGATATGGTACTGCCTTTCAGAGCAGGGTTAAATAACAGAATATTTATTATAGCGAACAAAAAACATTTAACTTGATTCTGCCACTCCAGCACCTTCCACACAGCTGAGAGCTGACCAAGCCTCCCACACCCTTCATTGCCCCAGAGGCTTGGAAGACTTTACGTTAGTTTTATTTTCTCCCCTCCAGCAAACCACAACTTTTTAATGTCAATTCCCCATCCACAACATACAGATGTGCTGAGCTCCGTTTTAAGCATTTCAGCTTAACTACAGTTTTTAGCACCCCACCCATCCACCCCTCTCAGCCCCCCTGACTTTTCCCGGCTGTTGCTGTTTGCCCACGGATGCCGCTGGCTCTCCGCAGGTGCGGGCGGGGCAGGGGCGCATCCCTGCTTACCTGACAGCCTCCGGAGAGGTCTTGAAAGGAATATTCCTGTTGTACTGCGCGTCGGACACGAACGCCGCTGCCAGCAGCAGATCCTGAGGAAACACAGGACAGCGAGTGAGGAGCTGCGGGGAACTCCGCGGGGTTATTGAGGGGAAGGAGAAGAGAGAGAAAGGAGGGAGAGTGCCTGGAGGCTCGGCGCTACCTGCGCTGCCGCCTCGGCCATGGCGCGGGCGGACGCGGCGCCTCCCCGGGCCCGCCGCCTTTAACGGGGCCGGTCCCGCCCCCGCGGCGGCGGAAGCGGGAGGCGGCGCCGGGCCCGGCGGAGCGGGAGCGGGAGCGGGAGCGGGCCCGGGATGGTGCTGGAGGCGCTGCGGCCGCGGGTGGTGCGCTGGGCGCTGCTGGCCGCCTTCGCCGCCGGGGTGGCCGTGGGCTGGCAGGCGGGCCGGGCGCGCCGCCGCTTCCTGCGCTGGCGGCAGCGATACCTCCAGCGCCGCCTCGCCGCCGCGCAGGAGAAGCTGGAAGCGGCCTGAGCCCGGCATGGCCTGGCAGCGGGCTCCCGGGGATCCTCCGGTGGGTTCGGCTCCTCCGGAGCTCCGGTGGGCGCTGCCCGAGCCGCTGGGAACGGGGGAAGCGCTGCTGGGGAAGGACAGCATCCGTGGAACAGCAGGGCTCCTGGAGAAGGACAGCATCCGTGGAATAGCAGTGCTGCCAGAGAGAACAGCATCCATAGAATACCAGGACTTCTCTTCCTCCCTTCGCAAAGCAAGATCCCGAACTATGTCAGACTAACCTAAGAACTGAGGATATGCAGGAAGCGATGCCAAGCCTGGAATGGACTGCTCGGGGAGGTTTGGAGTCTCCGTTCCTGGAGGTGTCCAAGGAACAACTGGACGTGGCTCGGTGCTCTGGGCTGGGTGACAAGGTGGGGATCGGTCACGGGATGCACTCGGTGATCTCGGAGGTCTTTTCTAAGCTCGGCGATTCCATGATTCTCGGATTTCCATATTCCACAGAAGGGTTGTCTGCACTTGTCCGGCTCTAAGCCTGCCGCTCTGCCCTTGCCAGGAAGCGCTGCCAACACAATAAACTAGCAAAAGTCATTGCATGGTGCTCCTAGGTGTTTATTTCTGGAATAAATGTGCAAACGTGCCTTATGGGCACAAGTAACAAGTCCCATTATGGGTATGCATGGGGACAATTAAGTGGTGAAAGAGCTCATGCTTTGGCTGGGCGAATGAACAAGTGAAATAATAAAGGAGTAAGAATTCCTCCTGGCACTTTGGATAAGGAATTGTGAAGGTAGCTGTAGCAAATTCCTTCTTCCCATTGCTAAAGAATGCCAGGAGACGGGAGTGCTGGGGGATTCATTGCTGGCTGCTGGTTTTCAGAGGTATTATGGAGTTCCCAAATCTATTGGGGGCGGGGGGGGGAGAAGCACTGCCCAGAGCCCCTTTAGTCTTGGACCTCCTTCCCAAACTTAACGATCCTGCCATCAGACTGGGGGGTCTCCAGAGGTGCCTTCCCCACCTATTCTGTGATTCCGTGGCTTGGATCACAAAACGTTTGTCCCCAGATGGGCCCCGCCGGGGCTGCTGGGGGTGCGAGGGACCTTTCGGAGCTCGGTGCTGCGGGGGCCGGCCGTGGAGCGCTCCGGCCCCGCCCCGGGTCCGTCATCCGGCGGCGCCGGGGCTGCCCCGTTGCCCGGCGACGATGTCGGAGCGGCGGGCGCGGGGGCCGTTGCAGCGGGTGCAGCGCCGGAGCCGGGAGCTGCGGGCACAGGTACCGGGGCCGCACCGGGGCCGTACCGGGTTTGTACCGGGGCTGCACCGGGGATGTACTGGGGCCGGACCCGGGGATGCACCATGGTTGTACCGGTGCCGGTGCCATACCGGGTGTCTCACCCCGTACCGGGTGTCTCACCCCCACACCGGGTGTCTCGTCCCCCCTGGCCCTGACCGCCCCGTCCCCTGTTGCAGGTGGAGGCGCTGCGGGCGGAGAGCGCGGCCGCAGCCCCCGGGCAGCGGGAGCCCCTTCGGCTGAGGTGAGGGGATCCCGACCCCCATCCCGCAGCCCCTATCCCGAGCGCCCATCCCGAACCTCATCCCGACCCCCATTCCAAACCCCATCCCGGACCCCCATCCCGACCCTCCATCCCGAGCCCCCATCCCGCGCCCAATCCCTCGATCCCAGCGCCCCGGCGCTGCCCTCACCCTCTCCTCTGGCGCCCTCAGCAGTGTTCGCTCCCTCCGTGCCTTTTCTCTCCTAATCGTACAGTTTTCTCCTTGCCCTTCCCGCTCCTGTTGTCCAGGCTGGCTCTTTCCCAGCCCTCTGGGGCTGAGGACGGTCTGGAGAAGAGAAGGCTGAGATGGCATCTCACCAATCCATATAAATATTTCCAAGGTGATGGTGCCAGGCTCTTTCTGGTGTTCCCAGCAACAGGATGAGGAGCAATGGCCATAAATTAAAACACAAATCCAACATGAGGGTGGCAGAGAATTGGAAGAGCTGCCCAGGGAGGGTGTGGAGTCTCCCTCCCCTCTCTGGAGAGATCCCAAACCCACCTGGATGCATCCCTGTGTCACCTGCTCTGGGTGATCCTGCCCCCTGAGCAGTGGGGTTGGACTGGATGAGCTCCAGAGGTCCATCCCAGTTCCAGCTATTCTGGGATTCTGGCAATTGCTGCTCTTTGGGCTTGGAATTCTCAGCCTGAAGGGATACACAGCACCTAAAATGACGCCTTTCAGCCAGCAGGTGTGGTTTGGGTCAGAATTTTAAGAAAATAGCATCTGCCTGTCTTGCTCTCAATGCAGATGTACAGAGCTGAAGGAATTGGTGGAGGAGAATACAAAGGCTCTCCATGCTTTGAAAAAAGTAAGTATGGAGATTAATTTGTGGTTTTCTCCAAAATTCACCATGGAAAGTGTTTAAAGAAAATCAATGTTCCATTTTAGATGCCTTACAACAAGAGCAGTGCCTAGCACTGCACAATCCCTGCTTGTCATCTCTCCAATTTATATTTTTATGTCCATTTATATAATTTAAAACTCACTTTAGTGCTTTATTTTGTCCAAGTCCCATGTGAAAACTTAACAGAGAATTTCATCTTGGCAGAGTGAAAGGGTAAGAAAATTGTCACTAAAGAGGGTGTGACAGCAGCCCAGGAAGGGGAAAACTTGTAAGGCATGTCTGGAAAACTTAATTTATAGAGGGACTTTGATTCTTGGAGCAATTTACTGGGGAACTTTGATTGTTTGGGGCATTTGTTGGGTTCTCTGTCAGGCTGATGAGCCTGCGCCGGTGGGGAATTACAGCCAGAGGAAGGAAGACGAAGAAAAGCTCTTGCTGAGACTCTCCCAGCAGCTGCAGAAACTCCTTCTTGTCTTGGATCAGGATAAGGTGACAAGGAATTATCCAGGGTGAGTAGCTCAAACATACAAATGGTACTGTTTTTTTAAAGGATGGCTGGAATGGACCTTGAAAAATCATTATCTCACCCCCTTAATTAGCTGAAAAATAACAGAAGGATAAAAAAGTACTCAGGAGTGAAGTCATTTATGACTTGCTGGGATTTTCTCAGGGTGCTGGATATTCCATGGCTGGAATATAAGGTTTGGAGGAGTTTCTTCAGGACAGAGAACAAAACAGAGGAATGGAAGTGCTGTTTCTGAATATTGTCCTTGCAGAGGCTTGACAGCATTTCAGAAAGCTTGGTGGGAATGATACTAAAAAATAGTTTGATTTGTTTTGGGTAGGGGTGAGGAACACCAGAAAGGCCCTCATGCAGAAGAGGGAAATGAAGAAGAGGAGGAGAGTGAAGATGAAGAAAGTGAGGAGGAAGACACTGAAGAAGAAGATGAGGAGAAGTTGTTGGATGATCCAAATGTTAGAGAATGTGTTGCTGTTGGGAACTTTGATGCCCAGCAGGAAGGGGATCTCACATTTGTGGTAAATATCTCTCTGCAAAGGGTTTTTACTGCAGATCACTCTGAGTTAAGCTGTAACCATAATGAAATCCTGTGCTTTTGGGATTCAGCCAGCTGTGGGATTTGGGGAGAAATTGGAGTTAGGTCCTTTTCCATTTAAATATTTGCTTGTTTTTTTTGTCTCTTTTTCCAATGCCAAAGAAAGGTGAAATCCTGGTCATACATGACAAGAAGGAGGATGGCTGGTGGGTAGCTGAAAATTCCAAGGGGGAGAGAGGCCTCGTTCCCAGGACCTACCTTGCGGTGGGTGTGCTGTAACCTCTGCCCTCACCTCTGCTCTTTTGTGTAGATTAATGATCTATAATCAATGATCTGGTCACAATGCCATGTGTTGTTTGGAAATAAAGCCAGGTATTTGGAAATAACCCCATGGTTTTGTCCATGGGGCTGGAGATATCAAAAGCAGCATTTCTATGCCTTGGGAAGTTGTGGCAGAGAAGTTTCATGAACATCAAAGTCAGAATCTTTGTCACTTAAAGGTCAGCTCTGAAGACTCCAAGCTGCTGTGGCTTGATTTGGGGTTTTAATAATTTATCTGAAATGGGAGTCCATGTAAATGTGGGAAAATTTTCTTCATCACAGGGCGAAAATCTCCTTTTCTAAACTTATTTAATTTATTCTAAACTTACATTAATATGGGCTGTGGTTGGAGAAGGCATTTTAAAGAACAGAACTCAAGCCTTTTGCCATTTAAATGTGAATTCCAGGTTCCTAAGGAAGAGGAAGAAAGCCAGGAGGAGTCAGAAGAACACATAGAAGTGGTGGATGAAACAGCAGATGGAACTGAAATTAAAAAAAGGTAAATGGAATGCCTCAGATATGGTTGTGAAGCTGCTGCTGTTTGGAAACAGCAGTATTTAGTGGCTAAATTTTTGTTCATGTGAGGATTTACTATAAATCCCTCTATTTTCTTCCAGAACAGATTCCCACTGGAGTGCTGTCCGAGCCATTGTAGAGGTAGGTGCCCCTCTTACAGGGCAGCTTCACCTGCCATAATCTTCATTATTTTGTAGAAAAACGGTGACTTTTCCCAAACACTGTGTCTCATATCAAAGACCATTGTTCTTAATTAACATGTGTGTTTTGGGAGTATTTGGTAGCAAGAAATGCCACAAAAATGCTTCAGAAGAGGTGACTGATATCTCAATTTTCTGGTTCTAAACAGAGCTGTAAATTAGGATGAATTTTGCTGTTAAATAGCAGGACCAGTAATATCTTTTTTTCCTTTGTTTTTCCTAGAATGACACAGTGGAGGTGCTGACCACCACAGGGGCAGTTCCTGCAGGGTTTCGCCCATCCATGCTGTTCCAGCTCCTGGAGGAAGGTAGGGATCTCACCTGGCAGGATTCTCAGGTCTCTGTGCTGGCTTTCTCACCCTGTCACCAGCCTGTTGGACCCCAATCCATACTGCTCCATTTTAATTAATTGGCTAACTGGCTATGTTTGACCCATTAAAAAATGTATAAAAGATTTTTTCCCTTAAATTTTAATTCATCAATGTGAAATCCTGACAAATTTCCTCATGATTTCAGAGTTTCCTCTTTGAAAGTTTGTAGCTGTTAACTTTGCAGGAAATGATGATTTTTTTTATTTTATTTTAATCTTTCCTTTTTCTCAAAGGTCTTTTCAAGTCTCTTCACCAAATATATTAAGATATCTCATGTTT